TGAGAAGAGCGAGAAAGTGGAAACAACCTGAGAGTCAACAAAATAATAATAACCAAGGGAGCTGATATGAAAGAAAGCTGTAACTGACCACTCAAATGAAAGGAAAATGGGCCTTTAGCTATAGTCTAAGCACGAAGATTGACAGTGACGATATAGATAGATCTCGCTTAATGATGGGAAGTTCAATAACTATGCAAAGTCAAGACTCAAAAGAAGTTATTTATAAGTTATCTTCAAAATAGCTGCCTCCCCTCCCCCAGTTATGTAATTGCATTTTGGGCACTTGGCCACCAGCTTGCATTTACAATTGGTTGCAGGTCCCACAGTCATGTGACACTGTTATGACTTTTTTGTTGATATGGAGCAAAAAACCGCCTATTCAGAAGAATGGATTCACTTAATATCCATGTGATTTGCTGAACAAATAGTGACTCAATTTATAACCATCGTAAAAACATAAAAACTGTTGTAAAATCGAGTCTTCACACTCTGCCCAGCGCCAGGCAGGGATGGCGGCTGGGCTTTTCTCCCAGGGTGGGCCAATCCTGTGCTGCGGCCCCGGGAGATTCGCCTCCCCACGTGGGGTTGGGCTATCCTCTCGGGCAGGGGAGGCTTTGTCGTACCGGTAGTAGGGCGTCGTTTTTAAAAGAATGGGCTTTGCCTTCGAACGATGCCCGGGAAGGCGGCAACAGGAGCGCCTGAAGCTGAGTGTCTCCGGCAGGCTCCGGTTGCAGGGAGGAGCCCTGGTCGGCCCCGCGTGGCTGCGCCAAACGTTGCATGGCTGCACCAAATGCTGTGGCATCGCTCCAAACGCCACGGCAGAATGGGGAGAAGGGAAAGCAACGGTGGCGGAAGGTCTCCTGATACAAAGTGCCCCACCAACACCGAGGTCAACATCCAAGCCGTTGCCATCCGCCCGAGGATGCAAGGGGGGGAATTAAGTCACCCCTGAAAAGACAGCCTAGCCGTTTTTTCAGGGCTCAAAAAAATAAATAAGACCCAGCCTTATTATATGAGAAACACGGTATTATTTGTTGAACAAAAAATCCCAATTCAAATTGTCAAAAGCTTTTTGCGTATCTAAGAAAATCAGTGCCACTTGTTTCTCCGGGTGGACTTCATAATATTCTAGCATATTTGTTACTATCCTAGTATTATTTCTAATTTGCCTTTTGGATAGAAATCCATTTTGGTCTAAATGTATTGTTTTGTTTATCAATTTTTTCATTCTTTCTGCTGCTATCGTCATAAATATTTTATAATCAGCATCTAGCAACGAAATGGATCTGTACTTTTGATTTGTTGGTGGTCGGTACCTTTTTTGGGTGTTAGGATAATATAAGCCTCAGCCCATGATTTCGGCAATTTTGCTTCTAACAATGTCTCATTATATTCCTCCATCAAAGATTCCATTATTTCATACATATTCTTTAAAAAAATTCCCCTGGGATTCCATCTGGCCCTGGGGTTTTGTTACTTTTCTTTTACTTTTTTGTATACTTCTTTTTTCAGGTCTGCCTGAATTATTTCTTTATTCAGCATTTCTCTTGTCTCTTCTGCTATTGTGGGTAAGCCTTTCTCTTTTAGATATTGGTATATCTCCCCTTCTCTATTTTATCCTGTCTATACAACTCTTCGAAATAGTTTTGTATAATACTTTTTTTCCCTTCCATTGGTGTTGGAAATTTCCATTATCGTCCTGTAATTGCTGTATTAGTCTTTTTTCCTTGTCTTTTTTTAAATTTATATGCCAACCATCTTCCTGGTTTGTTGACCTGTTCGAAAAAGTTTTGTCTTGCAAATTTTAATTTTTTTGCGTTCTCTTCCTGTGTCAACAAATTTATGTCTAACTAAATCTATTTCCCTTTTAATTTTGTCATTTTGTGGTTCTTTTTGTAGTGTAGTTTCTAATTGTTTTAGTTCTTCCTGGAGTAAATTTTGTTTTTTCCATTTTTCTTCATTTCTTTGGGCTGTATATGCTATTGTTATTTCGCTTAGGTATGCTTTAGTGATGGCCCATGGATTCTGTAATGTTGGGTATTGATTCTTATTCTCTTTGAGGAATAGTTCCATTTCTTTTTTAATTAGTTGGGTATACTCTTTTTCTTTCAAATATGTGTGTTTAATGTCCATCTTCTATTTTTTTCTTTTGGCCTTTCCAAAATATTTTCAAAGGATTGTGGTCTGCCCATGTATTAGACATCATCTCTATTGGATCTGTATTATTTCCTATTTCCTGGTTCATCTAGACCATATCAATCTTAGACCATGATTTGTGGGGGTTAGAATAGAAAGTATATTTGTTTTCTTTTAAATTTAGCTCTCTTCAACTGTCCCTCAAGTTTAATTCATGTGTCATCTCGAAGAATGGTTTTGGTAGAATTTTCCTCTTATTTTTTATTGCTTATGTAGTGTTTATTAATGCCTACCACTGCATTGAAGTCCTGTAATAAGCAAATGCTCTTATGTCCTGTTTTTTTTTTTTCATATAATTTAAATAAAATTTCTTCTGATTATCATTTGGGGCATAAATTACCACCAGTAATACTTGTTTTTGTTGTATTTTTACTTCAATTATTAGTGTTCTTCTGTTGTCATCAGAGTAAATTTGTTTTGCTTTTAGCCCTTTTTTAATGTATATTGCTATTCCTTTTTTTTAAATCAGCCAATGAGACATAAAGTTTCCCTAATTTTGCTTGTTCTAAACAATTCCGGTACTGTTTCTTAATATGGACTTCTTGAAGACATAGTATATCCACCTTTTGTAAATATTTGTTTCCTTTTTATGGGGAAGTATAGTCCATTGATATTCATTGTTATTAACTTGATATCTCCTTCCACTTTATTGTTTATAGGTTTGTCTCTGACTTCTATTTGTTTTATTATCTCTCTGTGCTCTTGTTCTTATCCCCTCTCTTTCACATTGTTCCATTTCTCTTTGCTTCTCTCTTCTTGCTCTATCTCTTTTTGTGTTGCCAGAAAACGATAATCTCTCCTCTGTTCTCTAACTCTTCTTGGTACTTGTTTCAGTGTCTGTTATATATCTTTGGTTCATCTCTTGTTGTTTTATAAATTTCATCTCTTATTTTTTTTCTTTGCAAATCTATTATGTACTTCTTTCGGTAGTTTATGGCGTCTGGCGTAATTGGTATGCATTCTGTATCCCTCATCTATTTCATTCTGTATTCTTTGTCTATCTCTTTGTAAGGCTTCCGCTATCAGTTCTGACATATTCGTTGTTAAATCCTCTTCTTTACTTTCCATTACATTTTGAAATCACAGGTAGAAAGCAGCTTGTTCCATTTCCAAGTGTATAATTGATTCTTCCAGAACTTTATCGCCATCAATTTTGATCCACTGATTCCAGTTTCTTTTCCATCTGCTGTGTTCTATTTTCCATCATTTTTATTTTTTGCTCATTTTTTAAAATTGTCTGCTGTATTGTACCTATTTTGTTATCAAGTATATATATGTTACCTTTCATCTCCTCCATTTCATTCTTCATCTCTTTATGATTTTTAGTCATTGTTTCCTGCATTTTCATCATTGTCTCTTGTATCACAAGCAGAGTTGTCTACATCGTCTGCATGTTCGATGCATTACTTGATTTTTCAGTACTAAGCATCTTTCTATGGATCTTTGGCCTAAGGGTGATGCTGACGTCAGTGATAGGTTGGAAGGTGGTTTTTTTTCCAGTTCTTAAGATAGTTGTTGCAGTTGTCATCTTCAGAATTTTGTAAATAATTCATTTTTTTTAGTGAGAACTACTATCTGTACACTTGCCCAAAATAAACGTCTCGCTCTTCAGTGATAAATGTTGTTGGTATGGCATCTATTACCCGGGATTTAATCCTGGATATAGTGCTGATGTGGAATTACAAAAATAATAGCTGAGAGAAAATAATTACTCCATCTCTCCCAGCAATGTTTGCACGTTACTATATGATGCAATAGGCTAGACAGAGAGTAAAGTGGTTGTGTTCTCCAGGGATTCCAATTTTCTGACTTGCTAGATAGAAACAACAGTTATTTATTTTTATTTATTTAGGGAATTTATATTGCTGCCTATTCTACACATGGTGATTCAAGAGGACTTACAGAACATAAAGCCCCATATAAAAACAATAAAACTAATAAAAGAAGAGTCACATAATAAATTAATATACTAAAATCATTCAAACTCTTTTGCACCTTTCCTTGCCTGCCCTATATAACAGGCTGATTCAAAGAAAATATATTTTTTATTTTTAGAAAGTTTGCTTTCAACATATTGCATCAAATAATTATAGAAATATTTGCTAAATTAATTAATTAAATAATAAATAAAGTAAATTTTTATTTAATTTATTAAATTAAATGTAGTTAGCAATATTTTGTTTAACCAGAAAGTGGGAATATGTAAACATAGTAAATTTCAAGAATTACTACTAGACAAATTAAATAATTCACTATTACTGCTAAGCTTTTTTTCTATACTACTGCATTCCCATCTGTCTTTTGTTTTTGTAAGAGTTAAATTTGCTATTACGTTGTTCTTGTATTGGCTACAGGAGTACTGCTTCCCCATTATTTCAGCTTGTCTTGGCTACACACATACCTCAGAGAATATATTCAATTTGGTATTTCTTTCATGGAATCATGCTGTCATTTGGTGATATCTATGCAGTTTTCTTGGCAACAATATGGATGCCTTTTTCTGATATGTGTTTTACCAGACTAGCTTTTTGAGATCACCATTAACCACTCAATATTGTTATATATTAGCGTGTTCATCTTTAAGTAGTTTTAAAATAATAATAGTTACAAATTGTATTGTGCATGATTAATATTTCAGAAACATTAATCACCAGTAACAATCAAAATGTGATACTTAATGGCATTCATCTTTAGACACCATATTTCTCATGACATTACATAACTGAAAACATGTATTTTGATTATCAGACTTTCCTTATTTTGTCAGGCCAGCATACTATAAAGATCTTTAAATATTAATATACCCATTCGGTTGGTCTCCCCAGTTTTCTGTTTTTCATTTCTCTCATCAAGATTGTCATCATCATCGTCATCATCATCATCATCATCGTCGTCATCGTCATCATCATCATCATCATCATCACTGTACTGACCGAGTGCATTGACTAACTCCACAAATATTTCATCATTGATAAATCCACACTCTGAAATGTAAACATAAACAGACATTTAATGAAGCACATATTTATTACAAGGTTGGGTAAAGAAAGTTAGCTTACTATGCAGAAAAAGATAATGCAATTTCTTAAGCCTGAAACAAATTAACCACCTAAATGAGAGTAAATGCCATGGAGTTTACAACATGCAGATCTAGGTTTACATATCCATATAAAAATAAATATATTTGTGGAGAAAACAGCATTTATCAGAATTTTTCAATTTACTAGCTATTGCTTTTCAATTCTAATTATTTGCTTTATTATTTTATTGTTTTAGTTTATTATCAAATAAGAACTGAAAGATGTACGCAAGATTCAAGCTTAGATAACAGTCTAAAATCCTTTATTTATGAAGAAAACCTCTCTGAATAATAGTTATGAACATAATATTCAATACAATGAATATATATATTAACTCATTAAAACTCCATGCTAAAAGTAGCATCAGTATAACAAAGCAGATTTCCATAGTAATCAGGTGAAACTATCCAATGGAAAAGAAAGGATACAAGAAATGGAATCATGGAGAATGGAAACTATGTTATTTGATGTTTTTCAGGAACAATGCATGATATAACAGAGAGACTATATCAATTAACTGAGAAAAAATGCTCAGTAAAAAGATACATTATAACTTACCCCTATCTCCATGTACCTTTCCGTCATAATTTTTTATTAATTCTTCAATAAATGTTCCATCCTGATCAAGCACTTCATCACCCATATAAGGAATGTTATGTAAAACTGTCTCATCCTCTACCTAAAAAAATATTGAAATCGGATGAAGTAAAATATTTTGCTTTTGAGAACAACGATAAAATGCTATAAATAAGGAAACAACAAATAAATCATTCCCAAATCAACATGATATTCTTCCCGAGAAATGATTATTAACAATATTTCTTAGTGTGGCAGCTGTCATGATCTCAAGAAGCACTCTCTCTCTCTTGGTCTCTCCCGGGTACTCCCTCACTCTCTCTCCCTTTCTCAAGAAGGCTGCTTCAAAACAAAATATCCATATTTTCTGGCTTTTTTTGCCAGTTTCCACCCATTTGAGACAATGGATTTGCTTAATGTCTCAATGATGGGTTTATAGCATAGTATTGCAGTGATAACTGCAACAATTATAACTTTGAAGTCAGCTCTGACTACCATTTCTTGAATACCATTGTAACACTGAACAGTCACAGAAGGAATGATTGTTAAGCAAAGACTACTTGGGAAAGGGAAGGGAAGGGAAAGGAAGGGTTCCCTGCAGATTTTACTCTACTAGTCACTGCCAACTATAGGGGGCAGCGCTCACTTCCATTTCAATGCTGAACCAGCACTGTCCGAAGATATTTCCGAGGTTATGTGGCCAGCATGATATGACAGAGTACTGCTTCCTTCCCACCATAATGGTGGGCAGAAAACTTGTAAAAGACATAGTTAAAACTAGTGACCATTGATATTCTTTATTGTCACTTAGGAAATGTGAATTTACAACATAATATAAATCTAACATTCATATTTAATATAATCCAGCAACTATATTCTACAAAATATATTGTTTTGATTATTTTAATTTCACAATTTTCAGGGTCATAATCACTTACCATAAAATTTTGCTGAAGAGGTGACCAAGAATACATTATGGGAACTGAGGCAACAGCATTCAGAGTTTTGAGAGGAATAACTTGTTTTGGAAAGTCTAAATCACTGCTGACAGAACACTAAGAGAAAAGATAACTAATAGTAAATTGTTTTCAAATTAGATATAGCAATAGCAAAAAACTGATTTTAGCAGAAAACCAGTGTTTTCAAATGATAATTTGAACAATTCTTTAAAAATATTAACAGATATAGCAGGTACACTCAAACAAAACTCTTATGTGTTTTCAAATATATGAAATATCCATATATCTCAATCATCTTCTAAAAAGGCAAGGATAACAGTCGTGTAATTTAGAGTTTAACTCATTAGTATATGCTACTTAAACCAATCTTTCTTCTGAGGAACAGATGCATAAGGGGTATGAATTTCACACATATTAAGTAAAGGAGCCTTATAGGTAGTCCTTGATTTATGACCATTTGCTTAGTGACTGTTCAAAGCTACAATGGCAGTGAAAAAAATGACTTACAACCCATCCTCAAACTTACAATTGTAACAGCATTCTCATAGTCACATGATCAAAATTCAGGTGCTTGGCAAACGGCATGTATTTATTACACTTGTGGCTTTCCTGGGTCACAGGATCATTATTTGTGACCTTTCCAACTAGCTCCCACAAGCAAAGTCAACAGGGAAAGCTGAATTCAGTTAATGACTGTGATTCACATACTTACTATGGCAATTTATTTAATCATTGCAATAATGGTCATAAAAGTAGGTGTGTCTCAACTATTGTTTCATTTACTGATAAAAATTCTGGTCTTAATTGTGGTTATAAATCAAAGACTACTTATATTTAATATGAAAATGATCAATTAACTGCCAACTAGGATGGGGAAATTAAGTTTTCATCAAGAAAGTTCTTCCAAGATTTTTTCCTCATTTCTCTATCATGTCAGCTTTCTCCTTCTTATTTGGTTTTGTTTTACCATCCACCAAGATTTATAAAAGGAATACTTAAGGCTTTGTTCCTTCTCATATGATGGAGGAGAGAAAGTCAATTGCTTTCTCACAATTACCAAGAGATAAAACTATCAAGTTGTACGGTAAAGAGATCATGAATTGAATCAATTCTATACGTAAAAACAAAAATGTTGAAGTTTTGTGTTAAATGTATTATTTTTCCTAGCTAACAGACAGACAAAGTAATATCTACAGATACTCCTCACAAACAAAGAGGATAGCTAGAAGGAAATTCTTCCTGAAGCTTAGTCACAATTTGAAATAAGCGAACAATGATAGTCTTAGATTAGATGGTATCAGTGAAGTCTCTGAAGAGCTCATGGAGCTCTCGCTGGTGTTCAACTTCAGAAGTTGCAACAATATAAGAGACATCTAAAGTGCCACTGCAGGAAGACAAAAATGAATTTAATTGAGAATAGGTATTATCTTGCAGAAATAAGATGGTGAAGCAAGCTTTCATTCCCTCTCTTATTGCATCTGCAGATAGCTATATTATGGATGACTATATACTTTCTTGATATGGAATGGAGTGGGAGCTCTTGCTGGGCCACTGTGATGACTTCTCTAGGCATCTGTCAGAGAAAGTGGAGATAGTTCTTAATGCAGTGAGTTATGCTGCTTGTGTTTTAGATCCATATTCTTCCATGTTGGTCAAGACTTCCCAATAGATGAGATGTAGTTAGTTCAAGTAGTAATTATTGCTTCTTTCTTGTACAGGGTAGTTCCACCTTCCTTGAAGGAGGCAGTGATTAGTCACCTCTTCCAGAAATCATCTTTGCATTCAACAATGTTGGAAAATTTTCATTAATTCTTTTTTTTTTAGAAAAGAGGAAAAATGGGTCCTCGGAGTCACCTCAAAGCATGAAATGTGCAGCAAAAAAATTAATAATAATAATTGGATGATCAAGTGCCTAGAAATAACAGGAGTCAATAGAAACATCAGAAGCTTTATGGAAAGATGAATGGAACAATGGGAAACACAGTTCCTGATCAATGGTGATAGAACAAGGGAAGTTAATATTAAGAATCTTCCAAAGAGTCTCACTATTGCTACTACTGTTTGTCACTGCACTAATTCAGAATAATTCAGTCAGTAATACTGAATAATTCAGGCCATCAAATATCAAAACCTCCTTTACATGGACAATTTGAAACTATATGGATAAACACCATCTGAAATAGAATTGCTGCTCAATGCTGTCTGTATATATAACCAAGATATTGAAATGAAGTTCAGACTGGACAAATATGCCATGCTTACCATCAAATAGGGAAAAAATAGTGAAAACAGAAGAAAGATGCCCTTTGGAAATAAAATCAAGAGTCCGGATGAAGATGATCACTATTAATACCTGAGCATCCTTCAAGCTGACATCAATCACACTGAAGTCAGAAAAAACGTTAGAAATGAATACATCAATAGAGTGAAGATTTTAAAGTCCAAACTCAGTAGAGGCAATACTATCAAGGCAATTGACACCTGGGGAATTCCAGTCATTAGATACATAGCTAGAATAGTGGACTTGCCTCAAGCTGACTAAAAGCCCTGGATAGGAGAAGTAGAGAAATAATGACAATGAATCATGCACTTCATCCATGCAGAGATGTTGACAGATTCTATTTACTAAGAAAAACGGGTGGGTGTGGAATTTTCCAAGTACATCAGACAGTTGAAGAAGAAGAAAAAAGACATTGGAAGAATATCTGAAGGATAGTGAAGAAGATGCACTGAAGCTAGTATACTAGGAAGGCCTACTGAGTATTGGAGAGACCAAACTGGCTTATAAAAAGAAGCAAGAAAGCACGAAGACAAAGCATTACATGACCAGAACATTAAAAATAGCAGGGAAAGCAGATAATAACAAGATCTGGCAATGGCTAAGAGCAGGAAAGTTGAAGAAAGAGATAAGAGGAACTAATTCTGGCTACACAAGACTTAAGAACAAATGCATACCAAGACAGAATTGAGAAAGATAGCAACAGATAGCAAGTGCTGCCTCTGCATAAAAGCTGAAGAAATAATGGATCACCTGGTTTGGTGTTACAAAAAATTATACAGAATTATACAATGGCGTGACAAGGTAGAAACAATGATGCATTGAAAGATCTGCAAGAAATATCATTTGCCTGCAAGCAAGAACTGGTGGAACCATAAACTAGAGAAAGTAATAGAAAATGAAGAAGTGTTCTGGGACTTTAGATTTCAAACTGACAGGCACCTACCACATAATATCCCAGATTTAACAATTGTCAATAAGATTGAAATAAGCCTCGATAGGATGTGGTAATAATACTTGGAGACAGCATTAAAGAAGAGAAGGAACTGGGGAAGATAGCAGAATACAAAGATCTGCAAATAGAAACAGAACGACTGTGGCAAAAGAAAGCAAAGGTAGTACCAATAGTAATAGATGCCTTGGGAAGAGCATCACTTGAACATTGACAAATTTACCATCAGCCAATTGAAAAGGTGGTTTTACTGAGAGCAGCTTTCATCCTGTGGTAATATCTGTAACACTATCAAAAAACTACATCTGCCTATCTCAGGTTCTTGAGAAAGATTCAATAGATGAACAAAAATGCCAAATCCAGTCTGAACAATCCTGACTAACTGTACAAAGAACTATAATAATAATAAATTAAGAATAAGTAAACGTTTTCAAAGGGTCCTGAAAGAAGATTATTTTGATCCTTTTCAGTTAAGGATTTAGGTCAGGTTATATACCATTGGTCATAATATCTTTTGGACCAGCTTAACCTATTTGGCACTGTTCTGGTGATTTCCTTCAGAACTGGTCAATGTCTGAGAGATGGAGAAAGATCTAGCCCTAGATTCCTCTTACACGAGATATCCCAAGGTACCTCTATAATGATAATTGGAAATAAACTTGGGAGACAGGAAGACATTTTACAACCAGCATCTCATTCCACAAAAAGTAGAGGAATGGAAATGCGAGAGGCATTTCAAAAGGGACTCTCCTTAGTTTTCCAGAGAATAAAAGAAAGGAAAGGGAGAAATATTTTCAGTCTTGCAAGAGTCTGTTAATATAAGCTTATAATTAACAAGTACTCTTGATACTTATTCTTGTCTGAACTACCCAACAGGACTAAGATCTCTCAACATACATCCCATTTTCCTACTCCATATGAAACTTCTGAAAGAATTCATTTGTTAACATAGAGTCAAGTAGCATCAGTATGCTGATCATATTCATATATGCATCTCCACTCCTAGCCAGACAAATGATGCCATCAAGATGTTTAGCCAATGCTAGGAGCTTATAAGGATCTAGACAGGAAGAACAGGTTTGTGACACAACCCTAGCAAAACTGAGCAGTTTTTAAGTTTTTAGAAGCTTGGTTGGGAAGGGTTTTTTTAAAATCTTTTATTCTCAGTGGGTTAACATGCGTATACACACACATACACACACACACACACCTACCTCCAAAAGAGCACAATCAGAAACTCTTTTGGACTCACAGCTGTTGATTGGAGAGCAATTAACAATCATAGCTATGCCTGGTTCACTGTCATTCATTTCTCACATCCCAACTGAATTACTGCAATATGGGGGGGGGACGGGACTACCCTTGAAAACACCCAGCTTTGTCTCATCTGAAATACATTGGCACATGAAGTTCTAAAACATCAAGGTCCATCCAGGGTTACACTATTGTTGCACAAGCTGCATTGGATTCCAGTCTGCTTCTGTGTGAAATTCACGTTTTGCCTGGCATAGACAAGATTGTCAGACCCTCTTATCTCCGAGGGTGTCTGTCTGTCCCACCAAATTGGATAAGACAAGTGACCACCAGGACCTTTCTGTTAAATATCATCCTGCAAGACCAAGAAGTTCATGGCTTGTTTGTCGAAGTGCCTGCCCTATGGAACAGCCTATCTCCAAAATCTAGAGGGTGGATGTTCTGATCTCTCTGGATTTTGGTAAAACTGTAAATATCTGGCTTTTCATGTAAGTGCTGGGTCAGGATATTATATTAGCCCAATATAGGTGTGAATTTGTAAGGTAAATTTATTATAAATGAGTTAGTTATTGTATTATGATCATTCTAATTCTGCTTTTTGCTTGATTTGTAGTGATTTTTGCTGATCATTATCACCTAAAAATAGGCAGCCATATACATTTTTAATTAAATAAAACTAATCCCCTTCTTCCACATAATTTTATATAAATTCGTTGCCCAACCCAAAGGAATGAAGTTTCTAAGGACAATTCATAAGCACAGAATGTCATATTACATAATAAAAAAGCAAACTAATTTTTCTCCAGTAAAACAGAGATGTGTTGACAACTTTGTAACTGGGTTTCTACAACACAGGTTAACCAACCTCCCTGGTCCCACGCAATGAGCTCACAGAAGTCATGATGTGTACAGGTTGTATCCGGCGTTGTTTCCATTCTTGATTTAAGATTTCTGTTCTTTCTTGTATCTTCTGACGATTATAATTAAACATGCTCTGAAATAAATGGCAGAAACAGAGACTGTACCCACACATATTTTTGTAATTATCTGGACTTCTAAATAATATCCATCTGTTAAAAATTAGTAATTTCACAAAAGCATATACACTATATGTATCATACATACTTCTATATAGTAATATAATTAAAATTTTAAAATATACCTTTTTTCAACTCTTACAACTATCCAATGGAAACAGATTGTGGTTTCCCTGTTGCTAACCAGAAAAAAAATCTTTCCTGGAATCTCAGTGATGAGGGGACAATGACATTTACTGCACTCTCTGTAGCCATTCTCTGCAAACATTTCTCCTGTTCCAAATAGAACTATCAATCTTATTAAGGATTGTGAAGAATGCGTAGTTATAACTTCTCCCACTATGATCCTGAGTGTGGATGACAATATATAAGTAGTTATTGACTTATGATAACAATTGAGCCTGAAATTTCTGTTGCTAAGCAAGGCAGTTGTTAAATGAGTTGTGCCTCATTTTACAATCTTTTTTGCCACAGAGGGAATTATTGGTCATTAAGTGAATCTGTGTTTCTCCCATTGATTGTGCTTGTCAGTAGATGGCTGGGAAAGTTACAAATAGTGATGACGTGACACAGGGACAATGCAACTATCATAATAAATACACCCCAGCTGCCAAGTACCTGAATTTTGATCTCATGACTATAAGGATGCTGCAATAGTCATAGATGGTCATAAATCACTTTTTCAGTGCTTTGTAACTTTGAACAGTCACTAGGTCTATTAATATGTAACATTTAAATATCTCAAAAATGGCTAATTAAAATCTAAAATTTAACTGTTTCAGGCCAAACAAGAGGTCAACCAAACTATAAAATATTCTATTATATACTATTATCTCCATTACCATACAGCAGAATGCCAACACTATAGGCATCAAAATCAAAGAACTGCAATGTGATTGAAGGATGTTGACATAAATATTTTGCACAATCCTTAAGAGAATCTTAAGAGTATAATGAATGGATATAAACTAATAGGAATCCATATTAATTAATTATAATGAACTGAAATAGAATGAAATCTTAAAGCTGGCACCTTTTACTATTATCTTTCTTAGTCTATGTTTCTAGTCTTAGATTTTGAGTTTTCTGTACAAACAACTGGAAAGAAGAAAAATAAGCTGTTCATAGAAAAGGTCTTAAAAGTTATTATGTACATACAGTGTTTTTAATTTTACACATAAAAATGAAGAACATTGAAATTTATTAATGAAAAATATTCCTATATGATGAAATTAAACCAACAACTTAAAAACATAAATCATTCTACTATATTACCAATTTATATTTTTTCAAGCAATTTTAATTATAATTTTCAGAATATATTTAAAACTATTAGTGTGTGATTATTATATTCTGCATATAAATCTTTCAAGATCACATGTGGATATTAATTTAATTTCTCACTAAATTGATTTCCTGAGCAGAATTAGAAGCAATCAATTTTACATGATTTGGAAAATCAATTCAGATTTAACTGACCTGCCTTCAAATTAATTGCCAAACTGAATTCTGCAGCTAAATTTGACAAGACTCTATATCTTAAATACACCTTGCTTATAAGCAATGGAACTTGAAATGGCATCCCAACTGTACTAATTTCATACACTCAAAAACTGTCTTAAGCTTTTTTTTCCAGCAAGAATCTTCTCACACATATCTAGTCAATTCCAAAACTAAAGAAAGTTTCAATAGGAGTTTGCAACATAAGATGGCTGATTCTGTGTAAAGCAAAAAAGTCATTCTGCTATTAAACTCCAAACTATATACTCAGAAAGATTAAAATTATGGATTTGGGATATATATATACATTATCTTTATGGAAACACTTTTTAGAATCTATCTGAAAGAGACAAAAATATCAAATGGAAAACAGCTAAATAGCCATACCAGGAACAGTCAGTAAGAGTCGTATTATTTAATGCTGATATTGTGGGTTTCCTTCAGAATCAGCATATTTTAGTTTAAATAGTAACAAAAACAACTAGAAATACTCTTTGGTTTCTATCTTGGAATTAGAAAGTAATTACCTTTACTTCATCTGCTCGTCTGAACCTCTTGAGCTGTCTAAGCCTCATATATTCTGATTTAACACGCTTCCTCCAACAAATTGGTCCTTTCTCAGATTTCTTTCCAGTCTGACCCATAGTTACCCCTGAAAAGAACAAAATGTGGATGTAGGATCAAACACAATCAGTTTTCTATATTTAAGTATATCTGCCATTGATTATGTAAAAATGTTTATATAAATAAAAGAAAGTGCTTATGGACATCACTTGTCAATTGGAAAATTATTTTCCTTATTGGAAATTCGAATCATATATTATTCATATCCCCCAGGAAAACAGTTACTCCATTCTAATGATGCTGGATTCAAGATGCTATGTTAATAAGAGATAGTTATGATAGTTGCTATTTGTAATTTCAAGTACTATCAATAAGTGAATCATTTACCTCTTGCTATTAGAAAAGGGTTGACCAAAACATAATTAAAAGTGTAATTTCTAGTCAAGAAAAATAATTCAAACATCCCATCAACTATAGTTATGTCATAGATTGAGGGTAGGAGTAAAAGTAACCATCACTAGCAGTCATGAACATTAATTCTCACTCTGAGATTATTATTATCTCATTAATAAGGCCTCCAATTAATTTTATCTGAATTTCATATTTAGACAAATCGCACTTCCCCACTGATATTGTCTGAAGTTCTCTGGAAAGAAGCAGATGTCCCTCCAGGATGCTGTAACTGTTGTAGATACATGCTGAATTTCGACCACATGCTTATGGGGATACTGTGACAGTCATAAATATGAGGGTTGGTTGTAAATCACCATTTTCAATACCATTGTAACTTCAGTCACTAAATGAATGGTCATGTGTGTGTGTGTGACAATTATCCAAGACTGAGATTTTTCCTACAGCTTTGAAAGCTAGGATCAATAATTTTGTAACCTCTGGATGGCAGTAGAGAGCAATTTCTTTACCAATTGGAGGCTGACAAGCTGTATTAAGAATAAAAAATATCCTTCATTTTAAAAAAATCATCATTCAGAATCAGAATCCAGCTGGAAAGAACCTTGGAGGTCTTCTAATCCAACATCCTGCTCAAGCAGGAGAGACTATATAATTTGAGACAAGTGCTGTCCAGTCTCTTCTTAAAAACCTCCAGTTGTGAACCACTCACAACTTTCGAAGACAAGTTAATTGTTTTGTTAGGAAGTTTCTCCTCAATTCCACATTCTTTTCTCCTTCACTATTTCCATGTATTGTTTCTTGTTTTGCCTTCTGGTGCTTTGGAAAATAAGTCGACCCACCTCCCTTCTTTGTGACAGCCCTTCTAATACTGGGATATTGCTATCATGTCACACTATTATGTTCTTTTTTCTAAACTAGCCAAACCCAAATGCTGCAACCATTCTTCATGTTTTAGTCTCCAGGCCTTTAATCATCCTAGTTGCACTTCTCTGCACATTTTCCAAAGCCTCAACATCTTTTTTGTAATGTGACTAAAACTGGATGCTATATTTTTAAAAGAGAAGTTGTCCAGGCTATTTAAAAGGTGTTATGGTAAATCCAATGTTCTGTCTTTCTATTGTGGCTGACAGGTAAATAAAATAAAATAAAAAAATGAATAAAATAAAATAAAAAGAATGTAAAAATAGAGCTGTCTCAAGCAGGTTAGGTAGTACTTATTGAGCATAATCTTTTTTTTTTTTAAATACAAGCTGTTTGTTGTTAGTTGCAGAGTTTACTTTTAAGATGAGTGCTCGAAGAAAAATTCTAAATGAATAAATAAGACAGTCTTCGTTTCAAGAGTCTTCTACTGAAGTAAACTTCTGACAAGGCCCAAAATGTAAATTATGATACCTCAAATCAGAAGTATAGTAGTACCTTTCCAAGCTTGATTTATTAAAGGCATATCTTTCATGACTGTATTCATTTAATCAGATACATGGAGGATGTAACTCTTGTGATGCCTCATACAAGTAGAGACTAAGGAGCAAGCTGTTGCTTGCTTACGTTGCTCAACAGCATTAATGGATAACATAGATGAAGTAGCTGCAGTTGTACTAGGAAGTAATACCAATAAATCAAACAATATATCATTTTCTAGAAGTGGACTATGCAAGGTTTGATAAAGCTGAAAATTATCAGAGGGCACTCTTGTAATGAAAAAGATTCGGGTGTAGTTTGAAATAAAAGGATAGTTTAACCAGCAATGGTCCTTGGCCCTCTTGAGATAGTTTGATGATGGCTCTTGAGAATCCAGCTTATACTACTTATACTACAATTAGACTGAAATAAAATAAAGAACACCCAAAGAAATCACAACGAAGTTCCAGAAGTATTTCAGTAAAACACCTTATTTGGATTGTGTCATTTCTCCAATATTGCTAATATTCCAAATTTAGATGTTGTTTGCCAGAAATACAAAAAATATATGCACAAATATCCTTATTTAAATTCTGCAAATGAAATTTTCAAACTGTAACTTCAGTCATATTATCATAAAGTAGGAAATATGTGAATAGTATCATTTATAATTTTTAAAAATAGTAACAATATGGAACTGAAAAGTGAATCCAATTGTAACCGTTTATCTTGTTTTTTTTAATGTGAAATCCAAATGCTTCCTTTTATACAGATGCTGATAAAAAAAAACAGCTAATCATTCAAGTCATCTGAATAGTTTACGCTTCCTTTTGCACAATGATAGTTTTTCTTTTGAAATGATACATTGAGATGCAAGGTTACAATTAAAAATAAAAACTTAACCTGGAGAGCATATATTGTAATGGTAATCACATTAACAACTGTCATGACTTATAATTCTGGACTCAATTGTTATCAAATGTTGATGACTATCTGTATTAATACAATAATATTCATCCTTCACAAAGAACTGAATGTTTCTTAGATACTTTTTTCAAACGTCATTCTGCACACTTAATAATATAAGCTTATAATTTTTTTAGTGTACAAGTTAGATATTTTGCATGTAAGAATCTATCAGCTTTCATAAGTAGAAATAGAGTATGCAGTTTTTGAGAAAATGAAATGCTTTAATGGGAACAATAATTAAAAATCTAGTGATTTTTCAGGAAAATATTTTGTATAGGAAACAAATGAAAAATTAGTATACTCCAATGTCAACTTCACCTACATACTTTATAGGAAATGATGGTAAATGAAGGCTCTATAGTTTTTAAGCTACATTGAAAAAACTATCCTCTTTTCAGTATTTTATCAAATGAACTATAATAATTAAAATTATGTATACCTTAAGGGTAAGCTTTCTGTTGTTAGTGGATGGTTTATCGCTACCATGTCCAACTGTGTCACAAAAAATAAGCATTATGAGGGGAAGAGGCCGAAGGATGTAATATCCAGCTGGGCAGGATGCTGTGCAAAGGGTATCTCAGGGAGTTGAGAAGGGCTTGGGAGGGCAGGCCATGTTTAAGTTAGGGGAGGTGTTGCAGCATGGGCCTGCACTAGGCCTCCCAGGGCCTTCTCCACTTTGAGACAACACATGCTTCACGTAATAACATATACAGTTGCTTAGCCAGGATTGTAATCATTAAGCAAAGCAATCACAGAGATGGGCTGGTTAACAAGTTATGACTATAATTTCAAGGTCAATTGTGATTGTAAATCAAGACAATCTCTGCTGTGTTTATATTCTAAAACAATAATCATGTTCCTCTGGTCTTTCCATTATTTGAAAGTGTAATCACATCTCCACTTGAGTTATACATTTTCAATTCTTTTTAAATATTTTAACAATTATACAAGGGTTAAATAAAAATATACCTCCATCTCCTTAACTTTAAGATATTTAGGATAAGAATATTTTAATAAAGAAAATAATTTTCAAGATGAGTTACATCTGCACATAATCACCCCCATTTATTAAGCAATTCTGTCAGCAATGAATCAAGCTTTTTAAAATTGCCACAAAAGAACTTAATACTCTTCAGCCAGGCCCTTTGTACTTCTTCATTAAAATTAAACAGCTGCCCATAAACTTTGAGAAAAGTGAAAGATGTATGCTGTCAAGACTGAACTGTACTACAAAAGGGTAAGACTGTGAAATCCAACTTCACAATAGTTTCTGTTCAAACAAAAGTAATGTCTCTTTAACTGTCTACTGAGTGTCTCTTATCATCAATCTTTCTCTTATTACATGATGTTGCTATCATAGGGCAACCACTTTATTCTTGAACATACTAATTAACTCTTCCTGGTTCACTACCTTAATTCTTTTTTGGCTCAACAATATACAGTACTCACTTCAAAACCAGCATCACCATATACCACCTGCTTTGGTGATAAAAAATTTACATTTGAAGGTGAATTTTAATTGCAAAGTCTTTTTTGACAGTAAAAAATCAATTAATGTGCATTATTTAAAGTATGCTTATAAGTATTCACTCTGGGCTTTCACAAACTATATCAACACAAACTTCTCATTGCAACTTTTTGATTTCTAATGTAACTTATTTTATGTTTCTTATCTGAAAGAGTCACTAGAAATAATTCATTTAGATTGGAAGATCTGACTATTAATAAGATAAAATCTTCGGTGATTTTTATTCCACAATGGCTAAGTCCAACTGTCTGCTTTTAATATCTTTCAATAAGTAGCATAATATTAAGAGAATTTACAGAAACATGTACCATGTAGAGATTTGACTGAATATGAAAATCTTATAAAACATAATTTGGAGCACCTTTTGGGTCTTAAAAATTGTTGAAAGTATGACTCAGAGCCTGTTCGTCAAATTAAACAAATTATTTAAATGGATAAAGGATTTAAATGGAGTAATAAATATTCAACAATTGGAATTTTAATGAAATAATTTATACCAAATTTTATACTTTAAAAAATTAGCATGTTTCATCATTGATATGCTGTCCCAGTCCAGGCTGAAAAAAGAAATACTTCAGTCTCAAAAAATTATTGGAACTGCAATGAACTGGTTGAACCATTCTTTTATATTTGCTGAGAATGTTTAAAGCTCAAAAATTTTGGAAAATAATTCATATACTAAAATGAATAAAATCTTAAAAGTTAAATTCATACTCAACCTAATATTTTTACTAAACTTTACAATATCATTCATTCCAAAAAGTATATCAAATTAGCACTGT